CAAGTGCCACTGTCTGGTTAAGACAGATAACGAATGGTACTGATGATAATGAACAGCTTCAAATCTGAACTTTTGGTTTTGCTTCATATCAATGTTTTTAGGCTCAGAACCTGCAAAGTCACTCAAGCAACAAGGAGGATTCTGACTTACACAAGTGCACTCTTTGGAAACAACTTCCAAACCTTAACTGAGTGTGTAAATGCCTTCACATCCACTGCTTCAAATAACATGTCAAAAGGTCTGAGTTCTTTCATGCCTGGGGGTCTGCTTTGACAGATGTCTTGAACTAAGGAACAGAAAATCCAGTCTGTTGTCTCAAATCAGGCAGTTCCTTATTTACTCAGGACTCTCCTGTGACTTTGTTTTCTCTAATCAGGATTTCAGCCATACTTTACTTCTTGGGAGCAGATTTACCAAGCTGTTGACCACAAGGGTCAGTAGAAGGTACTTGACAGGTCTCTCAAATACACCTCACAACCTTATGGCAAATGGAAAAGGACAATAAAAGGGCAGTCACTCCTCAAATGCTCCTCAAGAGCTGGACAGCAACAGAAGTCACAGCTTACAGGAGGTCCTCAGGACAAACTCAGGGAGAAAATGGAAAATTCTACTTTGACTCATTTTTTCCTACTACTGTTTTAAGCTGTTCTACTGCAAGTACCTGCTGTTCTCTGCAGACCCAACAGGTCTATAGCAACCTTGGCTTATTGGCCCAGCCTGATTGCTGCTGGGTGAGAAAAGCACTGAGAACCACACAGGGTACTGCTGGGACCACACTTCCTCAAAGCATGGAAATGTCAAACTGACACGGAGTTGGGAGAGCGGCACACTGAACTTGAGGACCAATCCTGATAGAAACAAATCCTTTTGTACATCTGCTGCAGGAGACAGACTTCTAGAGGGACAATGCCTTTATAACTCGGGCAAGGAAAGAAGTTCATGTTGGACCAAGTCACCTCCAGAGATCCCTTCCAACCTCAACCATTCTGTTATTCTGAGCACATTTTGAGGTGGTTTTGGAAAGAAAAACTGAACAAAATGTTTCCTGCAGCCCGGTTCTAAGGCAATCTACAAGAGAGGAGTCAACTAGGTTCAAGCAAGAGGACCTGCTGTGCTATACTGCATCATCAGCTGCATTTTGGGTAGTCCTGAAAAAGAAATACAGAAGGGTAGAGGAGGGCAGATGATCCCATACGAGTAAAGGAGTTCAATCTGTAACTGTTAAACTTTCCCAAATCTGCAAATACATGGACAGTTTTAAAGGGTTTGAAAGGCTGTTTGTGTGCTTGAATATCATTTGGGGCTCAGGGAAGAGTCAATGTTTGCTTTAAGGAAATAATAGCATATACAAACATAGTGCTTTTTACATCTCAGTATGTAAGAGCAGGAATATTCTGCATGTCCTGCACGCTGTGGAGAGGTTTTAAGAGCTTTAAGAGGTGATAAGAGCTTTAAGATTAAGTTTGAAGAGTACCTTAAATGCTGTTAAAAGTTACACGCTGCATGACTTACCCCCTGCAAGCTCCTCCAGACTTGGAACATGAAAAGCAAACCTTTCGACTTTGGCCATTTCCTAATGGGTGCTGATTTCTTCAGAAAAGTAATTACAATCTACCACCCTGCAGGAGAGGCTGATCTGCAACAAGGATAATAGTTTAAAGATTAAAACAGGCTGTTTTCAATGTTATACTTTTCAATTTCACACAAGAATAGACAACAGTAGAATTGCAGTTCTGCCATCAAAGCAAAGACTAACAGCTTCAATATTAATGTTAATTTTCTTACATGCTTTGGAAGAAGAGGTGTCTGTCAGCTCTATAGCTGTCTCAGAGCATTACACATGCTAGCCCTCAAGCTTGCAAGTGGGTGTAGGCAAAACACACCTTATGTTGAATCCAGTTCACGAAGACAGGTCAGATTCATCGGTGTCTTTTGCAAGCAGAGAGCCAGGTTGGTTTTGAAAGAAAACTGGGCTTCTTTGAGCACAGTGGCTGCCTCCTCAGGTCTTCCCTAAGTTAATGTTTACTTTTCCAGCACTGGCTATAGTGAACTTTCAACCTTAACTCTGCCATCATCCCCAATTGATTCTAGCCATGTGTTTCCCCCTTCAGAAGGGAACAGGCTAGTAGCAAAATAGAAAACAACAGCAGCAAGACCTGCAGTATCAGATTGTGTACAGCTACAGAGCCTGCAACAAAAAGTTTTGTTTGAATATAACTTTAGGAACCTCTTTACAAATGAACTATATTACAGTCAGCCTTGGAGCAGCAAAGTCTGCTAGTAGGGCCAACCACTAGCTTAGGGCAGAACAGCTGATTATACACTACCTGTAACCCAGCCACAGCAATCATTAACTCCTTAGCCATACGCTTGCTGCACACAACATAAAAATAAAATGAGTCCCACTTATCCAGACCTCAGGCCCTGGAGGAAAAAGCCAAAACCTCAATTACAATCCCAGACCTGACAGAGATTTTCTTAGAAAGGGCTGTGATAGAGAAAGATGTTCCTGTGTACTTTTAGCTTCTATTTTAAAAGAAGTCCTACTTAGGTGAGGTATAAGGAAGACGTTCTTTACTGTGAGGGTGCTGAGGCAGTGGAACAGGTTGCCCAAGGAAGTTGTGAATGCTCCATCCCTGGTGGTGTTCAAGGCCATGTTGGACAGAGCCTTGGGTGAGATGGTTTAGTGTGAGGTGTCCCTCCTCATGGCAGGGGGGGTTGGAACTAGATGATCTTGAGGTCCTTTCCAACCCTAACTATTTTATGCTTCTATGTTATGACTGTCAAAAATCATAACTTTCCTTACACCACTGGCCTCTCAAGTCTGCATAAAGGAAAAAAAAAACCTGCTGAAAAAAAAAGAAATAGAGGTGGGAGATCAGAGCAGTCACTTACATTAAGTCTTTAAACGGTAAGTTCAGCCACCCCAGTTACTGCTGTAGCAAGCAGCAGATAAAGGGAGAAACACAACTACCTGTGTATAGTAATTCTCATCTTAGTTGGTCTTATCCATCTCCACCGGTACCACCCTTCTCTGGCTGTGGAGGAGAATGTAACAGGCTGGATTGGTGCCTCTGGTAGAAGCCTACCATCAGGTGGAGTGAACCCTACTGCAAGACTTGCAGTGTGCACTCAAGAACACAAGAAAGAGAGCAGTTAGTCAGAGAAAGGAGGTGACAAGGTAACTGGTTGAAAAAGTCTCAAACAGACTAAGAAAACAGGCTAGAACTGCTGTGGTACAAAAGGCAGAGGCAAGACTTGGACACAGTTCACATAGGTAGGCTCAGATACAACACCTAGACCATCACCTGCTGTTTAAAGGACAGTAGTCAGTTCACCACAATCAAGAAAGGAGGGAAAGCCTGTGGGAAAAGCTTGAAGTACCATAATAAACCTGATCTGACTGCTAGACATTAGTCCTTACGGGGAAGGACACAGAACAGAAGTGCATCCACCCAAGCAAGTATTCACAAGGGAGTTTTTGTGGTGTGGGAGACAGAGAACCTGAAAGGAGACAACAGTTAGGATCCACCTTGGAGGGGTGGAGTGACACTGAATTACTACAGAAGGCTTTCAAAGACACAGCACAAATAGTAAAGGGACAGTAAGATTATTAGATCTGGGATGGCGCAACAAGAATGGAGAGGACAAGCATCTAAAAAGGCTTTAAAAGTCTGTCTTTTTGAGGACGGAAGAAGACATCAAAGAGTAGTCAAGGGCTGGGAGAGTGCAGATGAAACGGGAATCATGATACTAAGGCGGGAAAGGGTATGAAAACCTGTATTAAAACTAGTTTGGAGGGTAGAGGCAGAAAGGAAGAGTTATGTTCAGACTGGAGATGAGTCAAGATGGGAAGGGAAACAACGAGGAGAGGAAAAGTGCAAAATGACAGTCAGTGAGAGAAGACGGAATTAGCGATGCCACCAAGAGCAAAACACGCACAGATACAGCCGCGGAGGTTGCGTTCCTCAGCTGGAGCGACGGGAGGAGATCCCGCTCGCGGCAGGACAGCCGGGGCATCAGCTCAAGCGGCTGGGATCTGGTGAAGGGCAAGAACAGGCGAGACCGGGGTCCCTGGGGAGGGCGCCAGGGCAGCCAGGGGCAAGCACGGAGCGCTGGAGGGAGGGAACGCAGCAGCAAGGAGAACCGGACCCGTGCAGCGGTCCCGCACCGAGCGGGGAGCGCGGGAACTGAAGGAAAGCCGGGACCCCTCTGGGCCAGGCGGGGAGCGGCTGAAGGGGGAGATGGCCAGAGCCGCCCCACACCGCTCGCGCCTGCAAAAGCAATGCCCGAGGATCCCCAGCCCCGCACCCGGCCGCACGTACCTGCCCCGCCGCCACAGCTGCTCCGTGCCTCTGCCCGCCCCGAGCGGGGACCGCCCCACACGCCACCCCCAACATGGCGGCAACCTCACTCCATCCCCTTCCTCCCGCCAGCCCGCGCGGCTCTCGCGAGAGCTCGGCGCTATTTAAGCTCTCGCGCGGCCATTTCGCGCTCTCTGTGGCGGCGAGACGTGAGGTGAGAGGGGGAAGCCGGAGGGTTGTTCAGCATCCGCCGCCATCCGCGGCGCTGGGGCGACGGGAGCGGGTGCTGTGGGTGAAGGCGAAGAGTGGCAGCGATGGTATTGAGTCGTGCACCCTCGCCGACTGCTTCGTTTGCGGGGCCGGGCCGGGTGCGGCCTTCCGCGGGGGGGGTACCCCCGGGAGTGGACAGCGTAGCGGCCGTCGGTGCGGGGTGCGGGTGTCCGTGCCCTGTGGTAACCCGGCGGGTGCTCGTGGACAGAGTGCCTGCCGTGGTGGCGGCCTCAGAGTGCTGAGGGCAGTCGCGGTGTGCGAGGTGGGGGAAAGGGAGCGGTTTGTTAGCCTGAGGTGCTGGAGAAGTGATCGTTGCTCTTTTGAGAGACGTTTAAAATAGGCAGTTATATGTTGTTGTGCTTCTTTACGAAGGGACTGTATGGTGCTAGATGTTAAGAACAGAGCTGTAATAAAGGTGGTGGATATTGAGCTGCTGACTGTAAGTACCAGCCGCAGTCTGCATAGCTAGAGTGCTGTTGCTGCTCATGTACCTGCTTTGATGTTAGGCTGTTACATTGCTCGGTGTTGGGTTTGTCAGGCTTTGGGTGAACCAGTGCTGTCTGCAGTCTGTTTAGCTAGGAAAAGACCTTTAAGGTCTTGTTAACTACTGCCATGCACAAACAGCGCTACGAAGTGCACCACTGAACCATGGCCTTAAATGCCCCACCTACATGTCTTGACTACTTCCATGGTGGTGAATACATCAATTCCTTGGGCAGCCTGTGCCAGTGACAGCCCTTTCAGTGATTTTTCCCAGTATCCAAACTTAACCTCCCCTGGTGCAACTCGAGGCATCGCCTCTTGTCCTATCACTTGTTTGGCAGAAGAGACTGTCCCGCACCTTGCTACAACCTGCTTTCAGATAGCTGAAGGGAGCAATAGGAGCTCCCCAGAGCTTTCTTTTCTTCAGGCTAAACAACCCCAGTTCCTTCAGCCATTCCTCACAGGACTTGTGCTCTGCCCTTCAGCACTTTTGATGCCCTTCATGGGACTTGCTCTAGCAACTGGGTATCTTGTGATGAGGGGCCCAGAACTGAACATTCTAGATGCGGCCTCACCAGTGCTGAGTAGAAAGGGACAGTCCTTGCCCTGGGCCCTGTTGGCCACTATCTGATACAGGCCAGGATGCTTTCGACCGTTTTGGCCACCTGGGCACAAGCTGGCTCATGTTCAGCTGCTGTTCACAAACACCCCAGGTCCTTTTCTACCAAGCAGCCTTTCAGCCACTGTAGCATTGCATGGATTGCTGAGGCCCAAGTGCAGGACCCAGCAATGAGCCTTGTTAAACTTTATACTGTTGGCCTTGGCCCATTGATCCAGCCTTTACAGATCCCTATGCAGAGCCTTCCTACCCTCCAGTGAATCAGCACTCCCACCCAACTTGGTGTTGCCTGCTGACTTACTGAGGGTGCACTAAATCCCCTTATCCAAATAATTGATAAAGATATTAAACAGAACTGGCCCTGGAACTGAGCCCTGGGGAGCACCCCTGTGACCCACTGCCAGCTGGGTTTAACTCTTGTTCACCACCATTCTATGGGCTCAGCCATACAGCCAGGTTTTTTAACCAGGTAAGAATGCACCCATCCAAGCTGTAGGCAGCCAGTTTCTCCAGGAGAATGTTGTGGGAATGCTGTTCTTTAATGTCTTGAATTGGTTTTTAGGGCAAACAGAAACATGACTGATACAGATGGATCCCAGGCTTCTGGCGCTGATTGCCCTGATGACCAAGAGCTAATCAGCAGTCGGCAGGTAAAACCTCATAAAATACATGCATGGGAAACAAATACACAGATGGAGTGTTCAAGGCAAAGGAATGCTGCTTCTGATGAATCTTCAGATGAGCTTAACATACGTAAATCGTCAGCTGCTTCACCTGAGGTTTTGCTGGACAGCAGTGATTCAGAAATGTGAGTTTTTATCTCTAGTTTAGAATTTTTCATGTGAAGAACCTGTGTCATATATCACAAAAGTTTATATTGTATTGAAACTAAGTATTTTTTCTTGTTCTCAGTGACGTCTCTGTTGCTGGTGGCAGTGGGTACCATCCCAAATGTTCCACTGCCCCTGCAAAGCAAAAAAGGAAATCTGAGTCTTCAGGGCAACAAGCTGAAGCTGTTACAGGAGTGCCTGACAATGAAAACTCCTCAGATTCTTCTCTGTCCCCTCCAAGTCCACCAAAACCATCAGAAATTCCAAAGAGGCACAAGTCAAAATACGATTTGAAAGCCATTTTTGACTATCACTTCCGACGGAAAAAGTTTAAGACTGCTGCACGCCAAAAATACATGTATGGCCCAGAGAAGAAGAGGAAGAAGTCAAAATATGTGAGCACACAGATGCCTGTGGGGAGGCCAGCACTGACTGCCTCACCTCAGGAGCGAAGGAGAAGGCTTCTACACAGAGGTGATCAGTTCCCTTTTTTTAAAAAATATTATGGGAAGAAACATACTCCCCTGAAGATGGTTCTTGGCTATGAGGTGAGTCCTCTTATTTTGGGGGATAGATGTATTATTTATTTCTTTAGTCTAAAAATAGCAAGGTTAAATTGGCAGTCAGACATAGACCGGTTTGGGTTGGAAAGGACCTTAAGTTCATGTAGTTCCAACCCCCTGCCATGAGCAGGGACACCTTCCACTAGACTAGGTAATATCTCGCCTGATGTGTTTGTTACTTTTTTTCTTCAGCAAGCAGCTCTAAAGGGATATTTACGGTACATTGAAATGCTTAAATATGAAGAACATCTTAAAAAAGCTTTAAAAGATCTTCAGGCTAGTGAAGACTTGGAAAGAGAATGTATGATGGAACGAAAACACAAATACTTGGATGACGAAGGCCCAATTTCCCCTATTCAGGAGACAAAGTAAGTTTAGCTTTATATTTTTAGGTGGTATAAGACTTCTGGGGTTTTATACTTTAATATAGGTGCATGACACTCCATCCCAGCCCCCCCTCGCTCTTGATCTACCTCCTGTTCAGTGGTGTGGGGAGGACATCAGTTCTGCTTTTAGTTGTGTTATCTCAAGAACAGCATCCTGAAGCTAGCTCTGTCCTGGGCAAGCCAGTACAACCAACTACTTAGCACAGTTGAGGAATTCAGGAGGTAGTACAGTTGCTTGCATATGATGTTGGGACAGTTACAGGTATATCAAATTCAGTTCCTACTATCCTGTCCTTTATCATGGAATCAACTAGGTTGGAAAAGACCTTTAAAATCATGAAGTCCAGCCATTACCCCATCACTGCCAAGACCACCGCTAAACCGTGTCACTGAGGGCCTCATCTATGTGTTTTTTGAATATTTTGGGGATGATGGGCAGCCTCTTCAAATGCCTGATCACCCTTTTGATGAAGAAATATTTCCTAATATCCTATCTAAACCTCCCCTGGCGCAGCTTGAGGTCGTTTCCTTTTGTTTTACTGCTGTTGTGAGAAGAGACCACCTCCCACCTCAGTACAACCTCCAGAAGTAGCAAAGTTCTGTAGAATAAATGCAAATGAGCTCATCTGGACGCTGAATTCTTTACATGAGATGAGTACTAGTGAACCAGTCCTTCCTGTGCCACTTGTTGAAGCCATTGTGCAAAATGATTTTATCTCAGTGTTGAGAGAAACCTGTGCATGATAGTGGAATTTAATCTTGTTTCATGGCAGTATGGAGATACCATTAAGAAATATCATAATAGTATCATTAAGAAAGCTGTGTAATGTTGTTAGCTGAGTACCATCCCCTTGTTTTCCTGGTTGTATTTTGCTTGTTTTCTGGCTTGTTGACATCCTAGCCTGTTTGCCTGTGCAGTCCTAAATATCTCTATACTACTGTTTATGTCTGCCACTGAATCTTTATTCTGCTGCTGTCCTGCCAGTGCTGTTTGTGAGGCTGCAATTCTGCTGTAGAAACCATCATTTGAAAGCAGTCTTGTGTAGAAGTAGTAGTATTGTACATCGATAAGCTGTAGCATTGCCATACACATTAGGAGGTTTCTCTTAATAGAGGGGTTGTAGTAGGAAAATAGTTGACAGATTTTTTTAGTCCAGAGCTAAATGTAAAAGTCCAGAGCTTGATTTGAATTTTTATTTCAGTGATAATGATGACAGCTTGAATTCTGATAATCAAGAAGACCATGATGTCAGAATAGTGGTGAGTAAATATTCTTTCATTTGAGGAACTGCCTACTTTTTTCTTCAGTTAAAGAACTAGTAGATGATGCTTTGAACTGCCTACTTTTTTCTTCAGTTAAAGAACTAGTAGATGATGCTTTGAGTACTTAAATCTTGATCTTGGATCCAGAGTTAACTGTGGGAAACCTGTGAATCTTGGGTTTGTTAATCCGTAAGGGAGTTGCTTTGAGAGCCCACACTCTCCTCTTTGAAATAATGCTGGAATGTTTAGGAAATCCAGAATTCTCTGAAGAGTTCTTAAAAGTTTGCAAAGTTACTACCAAAATATTATCTTTTAAGTATCTCAGAACTAGTCTTGTGTATCCCTTTGTCTTATGTTTCTAGGAGAACAGCTCTTTTATTCTAAGCAGCAAAATCCCCAGTAAGAAAAAATCAAAGCCAGAAAAGAAATGTGCAAAATTAAGTGCTTGAAGTAGAGGAGGAAGATGACGGCACCTGAGAACTTTGGGCTTCTGTGGGTTTACGTTGGTGAACAGGCAAATGAGATGGCAGTGGTCACTCAACGTTGTCACATGCAGTTTAAGGTGAGTATATTGGGCTTGTGCCTGAGACAGTTACAAAACAAATAAAAGCTTAGCAAAAGCCAGGTTATAAGTGTCTTCTGTGCTGTCCTGTGTCAAGTGTATAATATCCATGACTCAGTGGCTGGTGATCTTGCTGAAATGCTCCTGCAGCTCAGCTTCTGTTAACCAGTGATTCACAGGACCAGACCAGTCCAAACCATTCTATGATTCTGTGAAAAGAAGGTCCAGATACTGTACACAGCAGCAGCACAGTGTAGAAAAGTATATTCAGAAATCATGTAGATGAAGCTTTCAGTGACATGGTTTGGTGGTGGTCTTGGCGGTGCTGGAGTAGTGGTTGGACTTGATGGTCTTAGTCTTTTCCAACCTAGTTGGTTCTATGGTTCTATGTTTACATGTACATCTACTGAAGTTACAAGGGACAGTTTGGACCCTTTCATAGCTGACATTTTCTCTGTCTTGAGGAAATGCAGGATATGCTGTGAAATACTTCAAGAGCTAAGTCAAGGTTGAAGATGAAGCTTTAAGCAGATCAAGTGCCAACAGTAAAAGCGCAAAGTGGTTAGTCAACTGGGACAAAAGCTTCTTGGAGAATATGGTTGATGCATTCAGATGATGATGAAATGGACTTGTGTGATTGAAGTTGTCTGTTCCATGTGAATAGCTTCTCAGAAAATTTCTGTGCTCCTGAATCTAATTCAATAATCTGGAATTAGAAGTTACCTTAAAATACCTGTAGCAGCACAGTGAATCTTGGATTGCAAGATTTTTCCCTCGCCCTCCTCTGTCCTGAATGAATTCTGATGTGTACATGACTAAGCACAAGATGGAAATTTAACAAGCATGGCCCCAGTTGCAGATATTCTCCCAGGGGTGTTTTAGGCAGTTGGGAATGTGACTAGTGAACGTTTAGTAATGTCTGAAGATGGCTGACTTGATGACAAGGCTGTCTTTGTAGCAGTGTCAATAAAAAAGTGTCTAAGAAGTTTACTTGTGAATCGGCAAGATTTAAAAAGCAAAGCTGATTTGTGTCACTCTTAATAACAAATCATTGTCAGCAGTAGAGCTGTTTAGCAGTTAAAAACAGTCTGCCAAACAGGGATGTTGTCAGGAAAAGATTTAATATCTGCTTGTTTAATTTCCTTCAAAACACAGTTGACAGTGGGAGGAAATTTACAGTAGGTGCTCAGTGTGATTATTAGAGCAGGTCAAGTTGCATTCCCTGTGCGCTTCTGTTAGGGTCCCAAATCTTTGTAAAGAAGGTTTGGAGTTTTCCAGTTGCAGCTTGGTAGCTCAAGGGAGTAAGACTGTAAAAACTACTCTTCAGTTGTTGGAAGATGACATTTAATACTGGTCCAAAATTAATGGCTAAATGTAACTCTTTCAGGGATCTACCTGAGAGATACTCTATGGCTTGAAAGACTCATCCTGGATCTAGGAGTGGGGTTCTTGCAGGGTAAGGTGTGTAGCAAGGTGTTATGTGGGGTCCTGCTCATTCTGCAGTTCGTGTGATGAATTTTTCTGTTCAACTGCTGAGTGACTCAGAAATGAACTAAATTTCAATTCTGATTAGAACTGGATGATAAATCACATGAAAATCAGGCTTGTCACAACTGTTACATTGCTTGCTGAAACATAGCCTTTGGCTTTAGGAATCTCAGTTGCTTGACCATATCTGATAATTTGAATTCCTTTGCTCTTCTTTATTCCAGTTCATGGTGCTTTTGGAGGAGGAAATGCCACTTGGTTTTCCTGATGTAAAAGGTAAGCTGTTAACTGGTTAACGGGGACAGCAGAGAGAAGCTCTTAGTCTTCCACTTACATCTCGTTAAAGCTGTCTAAATGTCTAAAACATCTTCCTGTAGGATGTTACAAAGTCTGTGTGGCTCCACGACAGCCTAGGAAGTGGCATGCAAGAAAATGCTGTGTAAGATTACAGGACAGGAAAACGTCTGTAACATGAGAATCCCTGAGCTAAAGCCGGGCAAGGAGTGAAACGTCACAAGAGCATAGTCTCTTCTTTGGCTGATGCTGTAGTGTGGGTGCCAGACTAGATAATACACCAGCTTGACACAGCGTAAGTCATTCTTACAGTGGAGTATCTGATACTGAACTCCTTGCCACAATTCCTTTGGTCCAGAGTGCACCTGTGTCTCAAAATAGAAGAGATGGTAGTGAAAAGTGACAGTTCCTAATGGTCACTGTATAGGAAACTGAGACATAGCTTCAAATGTAGTTTCAAAAGCAGTGGAAAACTAAAAGCTGCTGCATTCAGTCTGTTCCAGCACGTGTTCAGTTTTTGTCTGTTGCTGTAGACAAAAACCTGGAACCTAGTGCTTAGAAAAAAACCTTCTTTTGCAACCCACAGCTGATGAACATATTGGTTGTGTTACGTGTATGAAGGGACAGTATTTGCATGTGTTCAAACAGAAATTCTTTCAAATACTGATGAACCTAGGGCATGGGTTCCGTGTCACAGATCTGCAGAAGTGTAGCGCAATTACATCTATTTCTTTCCAGGCTCTGCAGATTGAGCACAGCATCTTTTGAGTGCTTCAGTTCTTATGGCTGTTGGCTGGTTTCTGATGTACAGCTCTGTTACTTGAGTGGACTCCTGTGGAGCACATTGGTGGAAGAGGTAAGTTTTGTGTTTCTGCTGAACTTCAGCTTAAGGGTATCAGATTTCTTCAGGCAAGTACTATTTCTACAGCAAGTAACCAGACTGACTTATGCACTGGATGGTATCTGCACCCAGCAGTGTTTTCCTGGTGGGGTGTTCAAAAAGCAGTGCTACAGTATTTCAGCAGCTGGCATCGTTGGTTTCCATGCTTATGTGCTGGTTAAACTTGGTATTTCTGTTGAAACAAGTACATTAAAAGTTTCTTATTGGAAAGCTTGTAAAATGCAACATTGAGGAGCTATAATGATATTACTTGAAAATATTTCTTCTTAAAAGGGCATTCCTGTGATGTCTAGAACACAGTGGAAAGCATCTACTTGAGGGTAAGTATTGAGGAAATAGTTGTTTTTTTCTAGGTGGGGAGGTAGTTGGATGAGGATCATAAAAGCTCAAGTCTTAGGTTTTGCTTGCCTTTTTACAAGGAAGCGGGATTTGATTTTTGAAACACAAATCCAAGCACCAGATGGCAGATAAGTGACATGTTTCTGCTGAAGTTAACTGGCTGGGCTTCCAAACCAGAAGCTGTTCGGCAGCCATTGTGAAGAGTTGTTATGCCATGTTATTCAACAAATAGACACAACTCACTTGTGTGTCTGAATTGAAAAACGTGGCTAGAAAAGGAACAGGTTGTGCTTTCCTCACTGTATAGTTAATTGCAGTGGTGACAATGAGACCTGTAACAGGTTCACTTAGTGGGACAGCTATGCACTTTAGCTGAAAATGCAGCTACTGCAGAATCCCAAGGATGAGCTTGTTTAGATTCTGCATCCTGCCTACTAGAGGAAGTAGAATTAGCAGGTGGGGGAAGAACACTTGCAGCACTGCATTCTTGTAGATGGATTATTAGAGCATATTTGTAAGCTTTAAAATGTGATGTCATAGGAGTTTGCTTTGTCAGGTATCTCTCTTAGCTGTACCTCTGTGCCATAGCACTCTGGTTTCTCACATAGTGGATAGGTGCTGTTGGCAGTGGTGTGATAGCCTGGGCCATGGCTCTGATTTCAAAAAACCCGCTTTGGCATTACCATTCGGATAGCATAACTGGACCACAGTCTGCTTCATACTGGGGGAAAGTTCAGGTTAGATATTAGGAAGAAGCTCTTTACTGTGAGGGTGGTGAGGCACTGGAACAGGCAGCCCAGAGAAGTGGTGAATGCTCCATCCCTGGCAGTGTTCAAGGCCAGGCTGGAGAGCCTTGAGCAACATGGTTTAGGGTGAGGCATTCCTGGCCATGGCAGGGGATTGGAACTTGACCATCTTAAGGTCCTTTCCCACCCAAACCATTCTGTGATTCTATGATAGATACTCTTCATTCAGTATTTTAGTAACTTATTAAGACTTAAACTTCAAACTGTTACTCAGATGCAACAATTTACTTTTTAGGGAGTCCACCTGGTAGTCCGGTCTGAAGCAGCATCTTGGTAAGCTGGTGTGCAGATTGCTTTTTAACCCTTGCCTGTTGCAGGTTAGCTGGCTATATCTTGGTGAGCCTGTAAAATTGCTGTTTTCTTAACTGAGAAGATGCTGTGTTGCTTTAGAAAACATCAGAGCTTCTCTCCCCCTAAACTTGAGAATGCTGTGCGAAAACTTGTTGTGATGATTGGCAAGATGTTCAACTGCTCTGAAAAGAGTGAGTGAGAATGGCCTTTCTGAACAAACCCACCACACAAGCGTCCTTTTTATGGCACTTACTCTGGGCATCTTGAGTATTTAACATGCAGTGTTTTGTATAAGCAAAGGTGGTGACTATGTGTCTTTTATTTAAAATAAACAATTGAAGACGAGCTGTCAGGTGGAGTAGGAGAATATTCAGACGTTAAGCGTGATTCCACATAGGCTATCAGGAGTGCTTGTGATGGTTAGAACCACTTGAGTACCAAGCCCTGCTCTAGGTTCTGCTGGTTTGCGTGCACCCTATGTCAGTTTGTGACCTGATCCTGCCTTTACAGGTGGTATGTGATTAGAGAAGATGACAGAAGAAATGCCGGATGTCATTTCATGGGAATCTGAAGGCTCTTCTGGAGCTGGTTAGTATCACGCGAGGTTCTGAGTATTCCTTAATGGTGAAAGGGCTCTGGTTTTCAGTGGTGGGAAGTCTGTGTGACTTTTGGGGGGTTTCAGGGACTTGTTTCTACACTGTGTTACGGTGTTGTGATGTAGAATGTACTCTGTTTAGAACTGGTTTTGACTTTGATTTGTCCAAAACCATTTGTACAAATGTCTCAGTCAAAAAGGAGCTGATCAGCTTGATGTCTTGCACTGATAGCTTCATTTCTACAAGCAAGTTATGTTTAGCAGGGAGGTTAGAGGATTCTGTTTGTATACAGTTTTGTAGTTCATTCTCTTTGCCTTTCAGGTAACATTAACTTTTGCTATGAATGAGTTACACTAACAAAGGGGGAAGATGAAGTATCACTTACCCTATTTCTTCCCCCAAGTGTCTCGAAAGAAGTTAAAAAGACAATAGGTTCTGTATGAGATGACAGTTTCAGTCTGCTTGATTTTTACCTGTTGCTTTAGTTCAGAGTACCAGAAGTGCTGAGGTCTATCCCGATAGGATCTCTTCTGTAGGTTCGTGTCGTTGGAAATGCCTCACAGAATAAACTTGTGGTTTCGCTTTACCCATTGAACTACCTGTTAGTTCTGTGGGATAAAACTGCAAGACAGATGTTAATGTAGCATCCAGGGAGCTGTAATAACACATCATGTTCTCCTTTAGGTACTGGCTTGTGTTTTGGTACAAATAGCAAAGATGATTCAAGCGGAAAAGCTTGGTAAGAGTCAAGAGATGGTGTGTTTTGGGAGTTGAGGTGTAACTAACATGAATTGCATGGGATTTCTGTGCGGGTACCTGATCGCTAACACTTCTTGTGGTTTAAGTTTTCTGGATGGCTTATTCCTCCTTATGTTATGAAAGCATGAGAATTGTTTTGGTGGCTGTAGGTAAAGAGGCAGCACTATGCCATCTCTCTGAGCTTCAGGTGACTTACAAACATGGTGTGTTCTCCTGCATTTAGAATCACAGAATCAACTTGGTTGGGAAAGACCTTGATTCGGTTGATATGCTGGAGGGAAGGAATGCCATCCAGAGGGACCTTGACACACTTGTGAGGTGGGCTGATGCCAACCTCATGAAGTTTAACCATGACAAGTGCAAGGTCCTACACCTGGGTTGGAGCAATCCCAGGCACAGCTACAGGGTGGGCAGAGAAGAGATTCAGAGCAGCCCTGTGGAGAAGGACTTGGGGGTGCTGGTTGATGAGAAAATGAACATGAGCTGGCAGTGTGCACTTGCAGCCCAGAAAGCCAACCATATCCTGGGCTGCATCAAAAGGAGCGTGACCAGCAGGTCGAAGGAGGTGATCCTGCCCTTTACTCTGCTCTTGTGAGACCTCACCTGGAGTATTGTGTGCAGTTCTGGTGTCCTCAACATAAAAAGGACATGGAACTGTTGGAACAAGTCTAGAGGAGGGCCATGAGGATGATCAGGGGCCTGGAGCACCTCCTGTATGAAGACAGGCTGAGAAAGTTGGGGCTGTAGAGCCTGGAGAAGAGAAGGCTGCATGGAGACCTCCTAGCAGCCTTCCAGTATCTGAAGGGGGCCTATAGGGATGCTGGGGAGGGACTCTTCAATAGGGACTGTAGTGATAGGACAAGGGGTAATGGGTTAAAACTTAACCAGGGGAAGTTTAGATTGGATATAAGGAGGATATTGTTTCCTGTCAGGGTGGTGAGGCACTGGAATGGGTTGCCCAGGGAGGCTGTGAATGCTCCATCCCTGGCAGTGTTCAAGACCAGGTTGGACGAGGCCTTGGGTGATACGGTTTAATGTGAGGTGTCCCTGCCCACAGCAGGGGGGTTGGAACTAGATGATCTTAAGGTCCTTTCCAACCCTAATTATTCTGTGATTCTATGATTCTAAGATCAAGTCCAACCATTACCCCAGGACTACCAAGACCACCACCAAACCGTATCACCGAGATATCACTAAGATATCAAGAGATGCATGATAGTTTCATACTGAGCAGCAAATACTTGGGTAAAGGTTGGGGTTTAAAGAGTTTAATTTCTGAGCAGCTCAGCCAGTTTACTATATGCAGTTAAAATTTCTGGCTTCTGGTCTGTAGAGTGCAGTGTTTAAAGGAAACCAAGCAAAGTACTTTGAAAGAAGTATAAATCCTTCACAGTAAGAAGGATTGTAATATATTCCATGCCAAAAATGTGGAAGAATTCTGAAGCTGCTGTTTCCGTTAGGTGAAATCCACAGTGTGTTTTCCCTCAGGGTTGCATGGCAACTGCATCAGTAGACACTAACTGGTGCATACAAGCTTTACTGTTAAACGAGCAGTTGTGGATGAAAAAGCACTGTGGGTGTTGCACTGAATGGTATCTGCACCCAGCAGCATTCTCTGCTGGGGTGTTCAAAGATCAGTGCTACAGGAGGTCAGTGTTGGCATCGTTGGTTTTCATTGTGCTGTGTTTGTTAAACCTGGTATTATTGCTCGTACAGTTTTTGCCCTGCTCTGGGATTTGAGTGTACTCACTTTCTAGTTGCATGTTCAGTGTAAGAACTGGATACCTGTCTCTGGAACTCAGCAAGTGCATTCTGTCTGTTCTTTCTAACAGGTGCTTTAGGATACAGAGTAAAGTGGGTGTTGCTGTGTTGAAGGGATGAGCTGCAGAAGGTAACCTGTGTGACAGGTAAGCACCAAGATGCTGGTCAGTTCAGATGCTTTCATGCTACTTCATAGTTTGTATGTTAACTTGTGTGACTCTGGAACATGGAAGCCTCAGTAAACTGTTCTTGAGAAGTGTGGAAGTGGTTGTCTTGTAGAGAGAACTGGGCAGTTGTCAGCCCAAATTCTGGCAGTATTGAGCAGGCTGCTTATCTGCAAGTCACTGCGTGTGCCTGTATACTTTAAATGGATGTCACTGTTGTGCAGCAGTTTGTGCTGGTTTCTGAATTAGACTGCTGCTGGTTGTGAGGAGTTCCTCTGGACATGGAGTTTTTAACAGGTTGGATGGGGCTTGGGGTAACCTGGTCTAGTGGAAGGTTCCCTGCCTGTGGCAGGGGGTTGGAACTAGATGACCTTTAATGTCGCTTCCAACCCAGACCATCCTGTGATTTTTAGGCTTGTTGGTACACAACTTGGCTTATATATTGGCAGGACTGATTTGCCCTAATAAGGGATGGGCAACTGGAGTACTGATGTAAGCTCCAGATTTAGGTTATCACCAACCTAACAGCAGTGAGGAGAGGATCTGGTCATTACCAAGGCTGCCTGGGATGTTGCTGTTTCTGGTGAGCTGTGGACATGACCATAAAGCAAAGCCATCAGACTCCTGAACTGCCACATCATGTGGCACTAAGTCTGCTGGGAATAAAGCTTTTCTGTCAGTCATAGACATGCTGCTCCCCTCTGCTGCTAAAAACAAGTTCTGGCTGAGGTGCATGTGTGTGGCTGTATCCTTGGGCACCTCCAACACTGAAGCTACAGAGTAGCAAAAGCTCTAGTTAGAAAGGTTGTAACTTGGGCTCCAGAAGCTGCTGTTGAGAGGATTGTTGTTGTGCACACAGGAGCAAAAAAGCTTCTCTGCAATTTACACACAGTTTGTGAACTCTTCTCTAACCAAATCTGACTCCTTGACCCATAGTGTCTGCATGTGGGAGGCCTGAGGAACCCTGAGTTGCCATCAAAGTGAGTCTGAAGGTGAGTGCTTAGCAGAATGGCTGGTGCTACAGAGAAACTTGAGGTCACTTCAAAGAGGGTTTGCATGGCTGAGAAACCAGCAGCTCTTAACGCGGTGACCGCACAGTGAAATCCTCTGCAGGATGCCGTGGACACGTGTTGTGTGCTATGGTCTATTTATGAGGAGATAAACCCGATGTAGTTGGGCCTTTTGGACTAGAAAAGGATGTTTATCCACTGCCCTCAGGGTTTTTGAGATGTTGATGTAGGAAGAGGCTGATCAGTTTAATGCTGAAACCAGCTGACTTCCACAGCATGGAAAACTGAAGAACACGTTGATCCAATTGTGGCACAGGCTGTCTTGTAACTTCATTGCTGCTTACGTGTCCATGGAAGGACAGTGAAGCTGGTGAAGGGTCTGGAGCACAGGCTTATGGGGAACAGCTGAGGGAAGTGTGGTTGTTCAGCCTGGAGATAAGGAGGCTCAGGGGAGATTTTATTGCTCTCTACAACTACCTGAAAGGAGGATGGAGACGTTTGGGTGCTGGTCTTTTCTCCCAAGTATGAAGGGATAGAAGGGAAGGAAATAGCCTCAAGTTGTGCCAGGGGAGGTTTAGATTTAGATACTAGAAAAAATTCCTTCCCCAAAAAGGTTGTCAGGCATTGGAACAGGCTGCCCAGGGCAGTTCTGGAGCCACCATCCCTGGTGAGGTATTCAAAAGATGTGTAGATGTGTACAGGGGCATGGTTTAGTGGTGGATTTAGCAGTGCTGGGTTAAAGCTTGGACTCAATGAGCTAAAAGTGCTAACAGATGCTTTTCCTCTCTCAGGTCCTGGTGCTGTTGCTGCAAAGAACTGAATGGCTCTTCTAAAAACAACCCTATCCAGAGTGTTTCTTGCAGTAATTTATTATTAATCACTCAGCCTAACTCCCTGTTGCAGAATGACTCTTAAGAGCAGGACCATAGAGTTCTGGAGGACTGTTCAAGCAAGGCAGGGGGTGGCCCCCACAGGTGGCCGGAGACCGGACCTGGGAGGAGAATGTGGAGGAAGCTGTGGGGGCTAACCAATACTGTTATGCCAAGAAGGAGTGGCTGAATACCACTCCTATATATGTGTGAACTGCGTCACAAATAAATCAGAAGTTGCTTATCACCCATATTGGGTTGGCCTGTCTGCTTCTCCTCGCCGCTTACAACTCCCCTCACTGCTTTGGACACTGAAGTAGTGTGCAGTGTTTGGAAACTGGTTCAGAAGCACAGGAGCCTTTGTCCTTACCCTCTGTCACAACTTGCCTGCAGTGCCCTTGTGGGAGGATGTGAAGCTGCCAGCTTGCTGTTGCAGAAGACTCAAAGAGTATAGATCAAGTTTTAATTTGAGAGTAAAAGCTTTATCAGCTGTTTTCTCTCAGTTCCCTGTCCTGAACTTCAGGAGAGAATGTGCAGAATATCAGAATGTTTAAATAAAATCAATGTCAGAGAACTGCAGCCTGGGATTAGTTCCTGTTGCTCTGGTGTAAGCACATGGGGGTGTGTGCAAATAAATCATGGCAGCTGCTCCCCTGGCAAAGTGTAGGCTCAACCTCTTCCCCTGAGGCTGCAGCAAGAGTATTTTTGCATGAAAGCCTGAGGAGCCCTTGCAGAGCCACTACAGCCAAATGAGAGACCATTAATTGTTCTGCTGATTGTTCTGTTGCAAGAAGCCTCCATCTCTCCTCTCCATAGAATGACAAGCTGGTTTTGGCTTTGCTCTGAAATAGCTTCAGCAACTGCAGTACAAGCAACTGTACCAGGGACTGAAAAGCTCAGTGAAAACAAGCCTGAAGTGTAGTCGATGGCTTATCAAAAGTAAGCTCAAACTGTTCTGTATCTTAGATATGCAGCGAAGTGGCCCTGCGCTTCCACCTGCTCATGACCACATAGCAGGAGCTGAGCTTTGCATTTGTCCTCATGATGTAATTCCTTGGCTTTGAATCAGGAGCTTGGCAAATGTGGGTAGAAAGATGGAATTTGGAAGTAGTAACAGGGTAAAGGATTTATTTTCTTCCCTCCATGTGCTTTAGATACACCTCTTGACTGCATGAGTTCACATGTCCTCATCTTAAATCACACAGTGCAGAGAACAGATGAATGTTAAACTTCACAAAGGAAATGTCTTTCATCCGGAGGTGTCATCTTAAAAAGCTTTATTAGAAAATGCTTTATACATGTGTATTACAGGACGATCTGTCTTTAAAATACAGATGCCCATCCAGAAAGGCTTTTCAGTGTCAGTCTGAGACAAAGCACAACTACAGCAACAGTCAGTCTGCTGCTGTAGGGATCTTGGGAAAAGTGAGTTTGTTTACTCACAGTCTTCCTACAGCTTAAAGCTGAGGATTCCTCATGGCTCCACAATGAACTTAATGTAAGTGCAGTACTTTGTAGGCTCCTGGCCTGTACCAGGACAGTCTTGTTAAGTGTTCAGCCAGTCATGGTGCTTTCCCAGTTTTCTTGGCTCGTAGTTTTTCCAGCATCTTCTGCAAATAAAAAACATCATGCTAGTGTAGTGTAGCTTGAGTGACAGGACTAAAACATGTAACCTGGACATCAGTAACGGCAGAGCAGTGAGTCCAGCTACTGCTCCAAAACTCCTACAGGTCCGGGGGAACATGTGCTTATTGCTCTTTTTTCCTGTTAATGACGGGATTTGTAAAACAATGCAAGGGCAGCACTGATGTGTTCCCCTACAGAGAAGTTGAGGTGGTCAGTGCTAGACGCAGGATGTGGGTCTGGAGCCTCAGGAGCAGCTTCAGCCTGGCAGGACTATGAAGCACTTCAGCTGTGTGAGGCTTAGCAAGGGGACAGAGAACCAACAGCTTGAGGCCTCTGGTTCAGCCCCTGTTGTAGAGCAGCTACAGGCAAACCCAGAGGGGATCCTACAGCCTTTAGCTCAGGTGTGCTCAGCTAGGCACGATCTCCGGCTATCTGGAATAGCCAAAGCAGCCAGCCCCCACCCTCCCAAAACTGCCTTATAATGGACATTCAGTCACATTTAGACTAATAACCTCCCACTCTTCTGCCAAGTGGCCCTTCTAGCTGCTGAAAGCCCTAACAGCCTATTTTTGCTCCACCTCAAGTCACCAGAAAACCAACCTGAGGCTGTCACAGTGCTGGCAGGGAAATCCTGAACCAGGATATCCCTTAAAAGCCAGACTGGTTTGATGGTCACTGTTTCAGCTGTACTCACACCACACCTATGTCAGATTACTCTGAGTAGAAGCCTGGTGAAATGGGAATGGACCAGGTAGGACAATGTTGTATAAACTGTATTACCTTTTGAAACTCTTTAGCCTTTTCTCTGTTCTTAGCATAAGTTTCTTGCCTTGTTTTTTCTTCCTTTCTCATTTTTACTTCTGCAAGTTGATTATAAAGTCTGCACAAACAGTAGGGGAAAAATTGGTTTGTCAGAAGCAAGTGGCAAAGCTGCAGTAAGTGAACATTTTTAAAGGTTTATACTGTCTCAGTTGCTAGAAATTAAGAAATTCTGACTTCACTCTCCCATAATCCAGAGTCACATCAAATTCCTTTTTGGCTACTCCTAACCCCCAGTTCAGGGATGCAGTTGCTGCACATTGCCCTTAGTGCCAAGGTGCAATTGTGACCTTGGCTTCAGCTTTAATCTAGTTCTACATGAGCTGCCTCAGCAGGAAGAGGAAGCGGGTTTCTTACAGCCAGCACTGCGAGAGGGTTTCCCAGCAGGAAAACACAGTCAGCCTTTCTCTCAGTTCTGTGTTACACAGCACTGGGAGATCACAAACTGCTCTGAGTGGTCACCTTCACAACATACAGATGAACTGCTGGGTTTTAATCCATGCTTCTTCCACTTGTGTTCATACCTTGAAGTACGCTGACGCATTCCGGTTTCTCCAGAATTCCTGTCCCCTGGAGAAGACACTTCTACTTTCTTCAACTGACTGGCAACTGCACCTTTTTTTCCTAACAAGAAAGACAAATCTTAAATTTACACCTTTAGTCCAGCTAATGCAAAAGCTGAGAAGTTTTCCATGGGTTTTAAAGGACATTACAAAGATAAGCCAGCAGAATGCAGGATGGACCTGATGGAGGTGATGTCTTGTGTTAAAGCCTCACAGTCTCCCTCATGAGGCTGCTGCCTGCACTTTAATCCAGCTGTGCTTCCCACCAGCTGCCTTCCAGCTCCCCATTTTCACAGATGCATCACAGAATCAACTAACCTTCAAGATCAAGACCAGCCATTACCCCAGGACTTCCAGGATCACCACCACATGTCACTAAGGACCTCACATACATGGATTTTGAACATTTCCAGGGATGGTGACCCCACCACTTCCCTGGGCAGCCTGTTCTAATGCTTGACAACACTTTTTGTGAAGAAATTTTTCCTCATCTCCAATCTAAACCTCCCCTGGTGCAACTTGAGGCATTACCTCTTGTCCCATCATTTCTTACCTGGGAGAAGAGACTGGCACCCAAACCTTGCTCCATCCTCCTTTCAGGTAGAGGAGGATAAGGTCGCCCCTGAGCTTCCTTTTCTCCAGACAAAACCCTCCCAATTCCATCAGCCATTCTTCAGCAGACCTGTGCTCCAGCCCCTTCACCAGCTTTGCTGCCCATCAGTTCCCTTAACATGGTTGCTCTTTGATAAACAACTGTGATTTGCAGAAACACGAGTACAAACATGTGGGCAGAAGGTAAAAACAGGATGAAGACCCATAAGGGCCTCTGTGACACTGAGGAAGTGGCCAGGCAGTGGGGAAAAAGTTGCCCACATCCCTGAGAAGACAAAGAATAGCCTAGTCTGCAGTAGTAAAGATGCAACAAGTGTGAAATTTTGCTCTTCTTGGACGCAAAACAGCACCTGAAAGGATATCCAATGATGTGTTTGGCCCCAGATAAACCTACCAGAGATAGGAGAAGACTCTTTTTGCCTGCTTAACTTCTCAGACTTTCCTCTGTGAGACCGCCTGGCTTCTGGTTTCTCATTTGCTCTCTCTTTAGTTTTTATTCCTTCTACTCTTTTCAGGGATTTCTGGATGAAGTTCTGCTTCCGTTTTAAGAAAGATTCTTGCAAGCTTCCGGGTGCAGCCGCAAACTCCAACACCATCACTGTGAGAGAAGGTGAACAGGCTGAACATTCCTCACTTGTAGCCATGAGCAGCATCACCTCTAGCAAGTCAGTATCACCTCTAGCCACTTGTGCAAGTCAATGTATTTCTCCTAAAATGCTGAACGTGACTATTTTGGTAAATCACACTGTTGAGAGTGACATTATGAGTGATGAGCAGCAGTTCAGGCCTATGGAATCTAATAACTAGTGGTTCTGCCAGGACAACTGTGACAAATAAAAGCATCTTGATGCCTCAAAACATAATCAAGGACCTAAGAAGTCCTTGACACAGTTAAGTTCTGCCAATTCCTGTCTTTCATGTTACTGTTGCTCATCCTTGACAAAACATGCTTCAGTGTTTTACTGATGTCCCACACTGTCAGAATAGTTAAAAACACATTCTTTGGCTACAGAGCTTGGGCCTAGAAGGAAATAAAAACCAAGTAACAAAATATGATAGTAATGATAACACACAACAGAATTTTTCAAAATTAAGTAGTTGTAACACAACCCCCCCCAACATATTGTAGGTATAAGACACATGTTAAACCTGGGGAAAATGTACTACAGCTCAAGCCTGAGCAGCAAGAGGCACATGCCTAAGTAAAAGATGCTTCACATTTTTTAAGGGACAGGTGTATATAATTAACGATTTTAATACTATAAAGACCTTCTCTATCTCAACTTCAGTATAGTGAAGTACATGAAGTATGTATTCAGTACACTGAATATACTTCACTATATTGGGTTCAGCTCTGGAGCCCCCAGCACAAGAAGGATGTGGACCTGCTCAAGAGTCCA